TTTGTAAAGGTGGATTGCAATCGCCTCTGCCATGTGAAGTTACCGAGTGCGTAATCCATAAGGTAAATGAATTGGAATCTGGTGGATGATTCTGAAGGCTTTTCCAGTAACCACTTGATGTCCTATGTCAAGCTAGCGTGCAAGTATGCAGCTCTTTATAGTTCTAATTTGTCCCTAGTTCAACCATGATGGGTGGTGCTCAGAAATTCGACGATGGAACTGCCTCATTGTACGCCCAATGTAACTAGCTCCACAAGAGCAGTTGAATTGATAAATGCACATAGAAGTGGCAGAATCAGGCAGTTTGTCTTTATTTCTTGCACCTAGAATCGGGCGGTTGTAGAAAGCGGGACATAATTTAGCGGCTGGGAATGTTCTATGCAAGACTCTTTTTATGCATTGTGTGATGATCCCACTTGCAATATCACTCCTTAGTTGCAGTTTCAAGAAGATTTGCTTCTTAGGAACTGTTGGCATTGTTTTCTTAACGCTCGTAATATTCATGTGCTTAGTTACAAACTGGTCTGGGTAACCATTCCTACTAAGCAGATCACGGATGGTGACGCACTATTCATTTATAGCATCCTCTGAGCAAATAGCTGAGTCACGGTATGATAAGCTTTTCACTAGGTTCCTTTTGTAGTAGAGGGGTACAGCACTAAAGAAGTGTGTATACTGGCCTGTTGATGTTGGTTCTCTATAAACACTTCGCTTCAGGGTTACATCTGGCCTTCTTATCAAAAGGACATCAAGAAATGGGATACTATCATTTTTCTCCTCTTCCATTGTGAAGTTGATTGCCGGATGAACACCACTGAACTTATTCACAACAGCATTCTTATCAGTCTCACTTTTGAGAACTATAAAGGTATCATCCACGTAACGACAATATAACTCTAAACAGCTAACAGTATCGTTCAGTGGACCATTCTCAAGTTTTGCCAGAAGAGTCGGCCAAGGGGTGACCCCATAGCAACACCATCAGATTGCCAGTAGATTTCATTGTTGAAAAGAAATTGTGCATTCATCGTACACCTCAGAAGTAGTTCTTTCAATGTGGAGACTGGAATACCTATTTCCATGCCGTGTTTCGTGAGTTCGTTGCAAATAAAGTCTACTGTCTCCATTAGAGGAACGTAAGTAAAAAGAGATGAAACGTCACACGAAATCACTGACTTATTATCTACTTCCAGATCCTCAGTCTTTCTGACAAATTCAAAGGTATCTTTGAGACTATACTTCACAACTTCTTTGTGGAGAGGCTTCAAAAGTTGTACCAACCATCTTGCCGTTGTTTGGTACGGAGAGTTATTCATGTCAAGAACTGGTAGTAGAGGCAGACCGTTTTCATGCAGTTTCGGTAGGCCGTAAAGTCTAGGTGTAACGGTTCTAGTAGGTTTCAGCATTTCGAAGGTGCTTTCTGAAATGAAACCTTGTTGGTTTATCCTTTTTACTGATTCAGTTAGATGTTTCTCGGTTTTCTCTGTTGTATCACCATAAGCGGATAATTTCTAAAATTAACTTTCATCACTAAGTAAAGAATTCATTTTGTCTATGTACTCTTTTTTATCCATTAAAACTATTGCTGACCCTTTATCTGGTTCGGCAATCACAATATTTGCATTAGTTTTAAGCCTTTTCCAGGCTTCTCTATGTTTTTTCGTTAAAATACTCTTCATACTGTTCCTACTACTCGTGTACATTAGGCAAGAGTCAACGAGTGTAATCCTAAGTCTATCAACATCACTGGATGATGGTATCAAACCTTTCGTTTGCGTATACATGTTCTCAAACTGTATTTCCGTTTCCATCTTACTAATTCTATTACGAATATCACAAAAGTTTGGTCCAAGTGACAAAACTTCTAATTGTGTAGCATCCAGATAGATACTAGAAAAATTATGCACAAGCTGACCCGGATTAGTCGGGAATCTCATCTCTAGTGTACGGTTTTCAAGAGTTTTGATCAACTTATTGAGCTTCTTTTCTTTCCGTACATTGACCACATTCATCACATAACTCAAAAATTCCTGCTTTAAATTTGTTACATTATATGTGTTCAACTATCTATTCACCTACCGTGTTAATTTATTTCACATTTCTGAACTTGTGAAATTTCGACTTTTTTTTAACTTGAATCATTTATGCATTTCTACTTATTACAAATAAATTAAAATTAATAAAATGTCATTCTTGACAAGTATCTATTGTTATTAAGTTTCCTTCAATTCATAAGAAGATATCAGAAGTGTTGTTAGTAAACGTGAAAAGTAGGTTTTCTTTCGACTATTTTATACCATATGATTTTTCATTCGCTTTTGAACTTATCACCATCATATTTTTTTTTCAAAAGGAATATGTGTTATCCTTTATATGTTTGCTAATTTACATATAAATTATCATAGAATTCTTAGTAAATATGAATTATGCATAAATATTTTTTTTAGTGAATTCCAAGTTTACAAAAAACTAAACCTTTCAGTTTATCTCAAATCTAGCGCATAATAAGTATGGTAAGCGCTTCGAAAGAATGTTAGTATAGACTATTAGAATAAACGAGTAATGAATCAATAACTGGTTGGTATCTTTTTTTCTTGTGAGACTGACTATTATCCTCTTACTTTATCTATGTTTATTTTTGCAAACAGAGATCTTATGCATACATTTTCATTCCAATTGAATTTGAGAAATCGTGAATATAAAAAACAAGATAGTATAGAATTCCTTGAAAAAAGTAATTCAATGTTAAGAGAATCAAACAAATAGTTTACGGCAATGCTTTTAAAATTAGCTCAAACAAATTTCAAACGATAAGAAGCAAAAGAGGAAACAAGTTTAGAGAAGAACATCTTTTTCTTTGAATTTATGATTATTTCACTTTATTTAGGTATACATGTTAACTCATGATATTTAAAAACTGCGACACACTACGAAATTTTATTACACTCTGCAGCAGAAATGAAAACATATTTCAGAAGCCACTGGCCTTATGATTTGTTAGCAAATGGATGCTAATGATTTAAAGGTTATGTCTCTCTTGTGTTAAAAATACAGTTTCAGCCTATCAAATCAAAATATTTTGAGTCTTAAGTCAGAGTTAGTCCATTGACAGTTCTTTGACAATCCTGATAAGCACCCTTTAGTATTTTCCTCAGAAATCCCATCACAAGCTTTATCATTAGATCCGAAGTTCTGCAGCAGCATATCCAAGGTTAACAGACTCCATAATCAGATGTAATTTGAAAAACTAATCAGTAACATCTTCAATCTTCTTCCAGAATCACTATAGGATTTCTAGCTTGGTAAATCATCTGTTATTGACTGTTGAGTTTAATTTATTAATTCAAGATGCAGTTCTAATTATTTGCTGACAAAAGATCATGTTGAACAGGTCTTCTCTAAGAAACAATAATACCATAATCCTGATTCGTCTTGATAAAGAAAAGGATGCTGGTTTGATGAATAGCCAGGAATATGTTGACAAAATGCTTTTGATTCCCTTCAATCAGAGTTAGCTGTATAAACTGGAAGTTATGAAAAATAAAACAGAAGTTTGATTTTCAACTCACAGACATCGATCTCTATGAACTCACTCTACCCATTGTTTCAGTAATTTTAAGTGTGTATGCATTGCAAAATATATGTACAGCAAGATTCCCCCTTTAGTCTGTTTATCATTGTATTAACCGGTGAGCAGCTGAAACACTGTAAGCAATAACAAGACATTTGTACGGTGTTTCTTTTCCTGATATATTGTTCAGTTTATTTTCAGTATTGAGATACACTGACAAAACGATTAGGTCGAGTTCAGAAGTTGTCATCTAGCATTTCAGTTCATCACAGAGGAGGATCTACAAACAGCTACTGCCAAACACACAAGACCCAACAATAGAACATTAGGAAAATCTATCCAAATAAAGCCCATATGGAACTGACACCTTACTAATTTCTACAGTTCGGTGCCAGTCATGGAGAAAATTAAACTTATTCACTGACTCTGATATGCAATAAGACATATTTGTATCACTGATTTGGTGAACCTGATCTCATGAGAAGTACGTTCAAGCGTGGTAAAGTAATCTGGACATGAGTGAAGAATATCATTGCCGGTATGGTGTCAACGTAAAGTATTGGAAGAAGAAATGTATAAAAGCAAAGCAGAATAATAGTGAGCACCATGAATATTGCAACACATCGAGCTAATAAAGATGTTTCTTTCAGCTTTTGTAATCCTTTTATCAAAATGAAACCTATAAGTAACATTGAACATGCATTCCATTTCAGAAAAGTTTAATTTCAGTCTACTTTACTTCTCCGAATAAGGTTACTTTTTTCTTTCTGAGTAAGGAAATGGGTATATCTAAGACAATATATCAAATTAAATAGCTGGAATCAACGTTGTTCAAAGTAGGTTACAGATATCTGCTAAGTAATAAAACGTCAATTCCGGTCTGATCTATGTGTGCAGGAAAAGCATGTTTAATCTCCTAGCCTGTCTTAGTATTAGCACTTTCACAAGTTTAATTATGATTTCATCATAACTAGTTAGTTAAATATTACCACATTCATTATGATTCTTGTTTCTTTCTCCACCTTCTTTATATATATATATATATATATATATATATATATATATATATATATATATAAACTGGATACTAGGTCATCGCATTTCACATCAACCAACTATTTTCACTTGATAAAACTCCTTACCTTCCTCATTATTTCCATTGTGTAAAGGATTATTACACAACTGCCTTCCATCCTAGATTTCAGGTTTTAGCAACGACCTAGTAATGGAAATATATACTGGTGTTCAGTGAGAAAAACATGATTCACCTCCTATTAGGTGATGCTATTCTTATCTCATGAAGGAAATAATGGATCGTTCTGTCGTGCTTTTTCATGATATTTTTAACCACTTAGTTTGTGATAGAAGCTTTACATTTATTCTGACTGCACACCTTAAAAAATAACTCCTTTTTAATATTCAAATACAGGTGGAGACAGTGTTTTTTGATCGGTCTTCGGAGTAATGTACTGCAGATATTTATGTCATTGTTGGTGTTACTTGATGCGGGGATTGTGATCAGTGAGATAGTTTTGGAAATCCAATCACTTCAAAGTAAGATACTGGTTTTGTTTATTGTCGTATAGATAAGTTATTGTAACTTTTTAGTTCAAATAATAAAATAAATTGTGATTCACAAAATGTGTGATACTACTGCACACAAGGTTAGTAAAGAAGGCTATATTACTTCCCATGTGTCTGGACGTTTCGGCAAAACACATTGTACTTCTTTATCCCAATCCCCACACTTCAGAAGCTGGAAATAAACTTATACATCTGTGACAACTTATTATTATTAAGCTTCAGTAGAGCGTCGCCATTTCCCTTTCTTCTATACAGTCGTTTCAACTTGGTTCCACCACTGCCCACAAGCTTTCATTTCTACGTCACATCATCTCTTCCATGCCACCCTCACAAATAAAACTCGTCGTTTTCGACTTGGATTCCACTCGAGAGCCTGGTATTGTGCATGATGTCCTCAATCGGACTTCTCAGTGTATATCCAATCCAGTTCATCTTCACTTTCCTCGTCAACATATTTGTTGGGTGACAGCTTCATAGTTGGTTTGTTGCAAAAGTGAGTTCCTTGTTATTAATTCATTCTGGCTATGTGATCTTCAGTATCGAGTGTAGACCTATGTTGATGAATGTCTGTAGTTTGTTGGAAGTGATCTTCGTGATGCGACAAGCTTCTTCACTGTCCACTTCAAGAACGTCACTGAGCCATTCATTGTGAATCAATTGGCATGTAGCATCATATAGCATATAGCTGTTGAATGAGGTTGACAAAGGTTTGTGCCACTAAAACTGTAGTGTTGAAGCAGCTACCTGTCAAATTACTTCTCGGTAGAAACTGTCGAAGGCCTTCCCAAATTGGATGAAGTTGAGATAGAGTTGAGTTGACTGCCATTTTATACTCTGTTGTATGATGATTCGTCTCGCAGCGCGCGCAGATGTGTTTTGATCTCCATATTATTTGTTCTTCCTGAGGCCAGCCAGTCAGCCTGTTCCGGTCGTGATTTTGAATAGAGCGCATCGTTTAGTCTGTCCAGGATGATGCGGCATAACATTTTGCTTGGGTTGGACAGGGATGGAGCATGATTTCACGCCAGTTCTTGCTTTTGCAAAGTCTTAGGTCTCTCTTCTTTAAGAATTTGACAAGGTAACCCTAATCCAATCAATCGGCAGGTAGCTCTCCTTACTTGCTTTCTTCCTTTTAAATCTCCCGCCTTAGTGGTGTGAGCATGTCCACTACTGATGTCTCTGAGTCTGTTTTTAGTGTGCTGGCGAAATTCCATCTGGTACTGTTGCTTTCCCGAATTTCAGCAGTTTTATGGCATTCGGGACTTCACTTCTGCTTTTGTCGGAGGTCTTGTGTTCACTTGTAGTTCTGCAGTTGCTGGTGGTATTTCTGGACGAGCTGTAGGTCATGGTGGTGGTTGATTCAAGAGCTTTTTGAAGTGATCAGCCCATTATTTCCTCTGTTCCTCCTTCTTGGTTTCCTCCAGTATCTTTCATTGGCTTCATCTGTGCTGATCTCTACCCTTCCAGATAGTAACCTGGTTATTTGATACACTGTTGTTAGGTCTCTCTCTCCTATCAGCATTCTTTTCTGCTTCACTTGCTAGTTTCTCGTAGAAGTAAGTGTCTTTTGTCTCTCCGTGCACTCTTCTTCAATACTTTGTCCAAAGTTTCGTACGTGGTACGTAGTTCTTCCTTTCATTGTGCATCCTTGCACTGGTTCATCTCTTGTTTTGCTATCTTCCTCTCCCTGCTCTATAAGCTTCAATGTATCCGTCGAGATCCATTCTGTGTCTTGTCTTGGTTCTCTTCCTTCCTAATACTGCTATGCAGATTTGTTTCCACGTCTTTTTCAAACAGTGTCAGTGTTCTTCCACACACTATCCTCCAGGGGTGTTGTTCAATGTTTCATATTTTGTCCTTATGTCTGACGACGTGAAGATGCCCTTCGTAATTTCGTCCTTCAGTTCCGTTTCTGTTCTAGGTGTTCAAATTTAACTGTGATCTATCGCTATTTTCTCTGATGGCTTTCAACTTGATTTGGAAGGTTTTTTGAACTGGATAGTGAGTGGTGTGGAGCTACATCTGCTCCTCTTCTTCATCTTGTGTCCAGTAGGTTGCATCTCCACATTTTTCACATTTAGATAAAGTTGATCTGATTTTTAGCGTGTCCATCTGGTGAAGTCTATCTTCCATTGTGAATATCTTTGTGTTTTTAAACAGTGCTTCGTTGAATGCGCAGAAATCTGCAAACAGTTCCCCATTCTCGTTCATTTCACCGTGTGCTTCTCGACCCATAATAAGTTCCCTTCCAGTGTTATCTGCTCCAAGTGTGAAAATTCATGTCACCCCACCCAATAGAATTTTGATGTCATCAACTGAGGTGGTGTCTTGTCCACTACTGATTGCAATTATCTGTAGAATTCGTCCTTCACCTTCTCATCTGCATTATTTGTAGGTGTATAACGTTGCGTATCATTGTGGGATTGTGATCCAGCAAGAGTAGATTGGTTCCCGCTGCATGAGAACCTTCGATGCTCAGTGTGCTCGTGGTTGTCGTCTGGGTGACAGTATCTGAGTAGGTTATTGACCCTCAATTTGGCAGTTTGATGAGTCCAAATGCATTCCATCTTCATATTCCTCACAGATTCTTAGCAAATCTATGCTATACCTTCTCATCTCCATTGAAATCTGGGCAGCCTTGCTAGGTTCATACATATTGCGGACACTCCATGTCCTCATCCCTTCTTTCGCTTCCATCGAGGGAGAAGACACATCGGTCGACTGGCTTGTCGAAGGCTTTCACCCACCGGAGTCATTTCGTCTCCGCGATTCCAGCGAGAAATAAGTTTGTTTTTATTTTTTATTTTGTCTGTGCTTTGGAGTTTCTTTAGGGATTGGATTGTTTTTCCGAGGTAGGGTTTCTAGCCCCATGCCCAACCTTCCGTGAGTTCTGAGCTTATGACGGTCTAGTGATTTTTGAACTAGTTAAAATTTATTGGTGTTAACTCCGTATACTGCGGCAGTAGTTTTTGTGGCCTATATTGCTTGATCTGAATATAAGCCTAGTCCTTATCCAACTGTCTTCATGCAGCAAAATATCCATCAGTTTCTTTGGATTGAAGATTTAGCACAAACACTTTCTGTTTTCTAAAACTTGTAAATAGATCTATATTGTCATTACCTTGGAATATACAGTGATATCAAAATTAATGAATGGTTAGATTATTTTCGACGTCAAATTGTGGACATAATTAAAGGCTTATGTACAAACAAACCACAATTAAAACAGCGAAACAAACTTATGAAGCTGGGATTGAGGATGAAAAATTCAAATTTCACTGGCAACCACAATGAGATAATATTTTTCAGTTTGTTTGTTTGTTTTTACAACTTACGTCAGGAAAACAATACTCTGAAGAATGAAAATCAGATATTTCTAATACGTCGTTACTGGTAAATAACACTTCTAAATGAAACTTCTAGAGTTACGCTGATAGATAACTGAATTTCGGTTTATTGGTGATAAAACCATGCTATGTAATTCTCTTTTGCATAATGACTTTACCATTAGTATTTATCGGCCCGTAAATGCCTAGTTCATCATTTCTAATGAAATATTAAACCGATCACTTAATTTACTAAGTTGACATCTGAGCAAAATAGTGAATAACGTTTATAAGAATACAAATAGTTCTTTCTAATTTCGAAGCCGTTGTGTCATAGTTACTAAGATTCATGTTTACCTCCATGGGTCTGCGCTTAGCTACTGCTTAGAATGCGCAAAGGAACCAAACTACATTTTTATGAATAAAGACCATTCCAGGCATTCTGGTAGTTTTTAGTTACACGTGTTCCTTAGAAAGACATACAAATAAAACTTAGAGTGTTATCTCTGATTTGTTAAAAAATCCATACTGTTAAAAAGATTTACGTATAGGCTTAATATTTCGTTTCTCCATTTTTTTAATTATTTCAGCATATAAAAGTAATTTTCGTACACAACTAGAAGAATTTCGTGATATTGTATGTACGTTAATGTATAGTACTGCACCTTATATAGAATTACCTTCTCAATGTTATTCTGATGAATATGCGCCACATTTTGTAAAATCTAATGTAAAGTTGAGGAATGTTTCAGTGTATAATAATGGTATGAAGGATCGAACATTTTTAGATGAAGAATCAAATCGTGTAAAAATATTCACAAATGAATCAAATTTTACAAATCCAAGCCCTCGAATAGAAATTCAAAAGTTTCACTTACATACTACTGGTCATCTTGAAAAGGATGATGAACTGCTGATGGATATATGCAATTTCTTATCACACTGGTACAAAACTTTTGGATCATCTATAAAATGTATTTTAGAAAACGGTAAGCTATCTAGTGAAATTAAGTCGAAATAATGTTATGCCTTTTTTTTAAAGATTCACTTTTTTGGGGAAAAAGTGTGTCTGAATAAAGCTAAAGTGGCTAGACTTGTGGAATGATATACCATCTTACCTTGAGAATTTTCTCCAGTCATATAAATACTAAAATTTCAATAGTTAACACAGAAAAGTTATCTAGTCACACAGTTTAACCATGAAATACTCAATGACATAACATAACGTAATAAAACACAATAGAATCCCAAGTGTCAGAACCATCCCATTCAGTTGTGAAAAAAATAGAATTGATGATTGTGGTGAACAAAAATTTTCCTTTTTAAATGTGCTTAAACTTTTGAGATTGGCATGTTAAAAAGAGAAGCTGTTTATCTGTTTTCTCTTTAACGCACAATAACAGTTTGAACTTAAGAATACATGATTTCGTAGATATCTTCATGCATCTTATCCCTACCCCTTTCACATGGCTTGGTTACAGTTTATATGAACCATTAAAGAGTTGATCAAAAAAAGGTTCATGTCCTCAGTTTACAAACTATTCTGTTTAACAGCCATAGATACATTTCCATTTTTTTCTCTAAGCCAGACAGGATAGTATTGAGAATGCGAAAGTTATACGATATGCGTTCAAATCGGTACTCATACATGCATTATGCAGCTTCAGAAATTATACCAAAGGGTTGGAACCTTTACTAAAATAGCAAATAACACCTAGTTACAAGTTATGCAACATATTAACGTTAATTCACACAGCTGAAATTAAAAGGTAAAGGAAATTAGGAATTATGAAAATCAAACAAAGTCAAATCATCATCATAAATGGAGCAGTATGTTTAACCCAGTCACTTTCCATATGCAGATAGGCTACGGAATGTTCTATAGCAGTCGCTTCCACTAAGCATAGATATTTTATTTATATTATTTGTTTCTTAGGTTCCTAGTGGAACATAATGCTTCAGAAGAACGCCTCAATTGCACTGTCTTCTCTGCAGACTTTTGAACCTCTCTCCACCACTACCCACAAGCTTCCATTTCTTCCTCACACCATCTCCTCCATGTCACCATCACAAATAAAACTCGTCCTTTTCCACTTGGATTCCACTCGAGAACATGGCCCCATGCGTAATGTTCTCAATCGGACTTCTCAGTGTATTTCCAATCCAATCCATTTCCATTTTCGTATTCTCCATATTTGATAGGTGATGAGTTCTTCTTTGGTTTGTTGCCAGAGTGAGTTCCCTACGGTTCATTCTTTCTGGCCATCTGATCTCCAGTATCCAGTGTAGAAAGATGTTCATGGATGTCTGTAATCTTTTCAGAAATGCTTTTCGTAACGCACCACGTCTCTCAACCATCACACAGAAGCACTCACCCCACGGATATTAATGTTGAAAATTCGGATCTCGTTCACGCTTTACGTCGAGTGTAGTAGATCTCCACACTGATTTCAGGTATATGAAGACTTGTCTTACTTTTTCGATCCTGTTTTTGACATCCTCATCTGTGCCGCCACCGTTGCCTGTAGTTGAGACGATACTTGCTAGGCAGGTAGGTGAAAGAGACTAGTTGCTTTAAGTTTTATCCTGTTAATGGCGGCTGGTACTTGCTGTTGTTTTTGTGTGGGTGTCTCCATCACCTCTTTATTCTCTACCTTCACCTGAAGGAGATAGCGTCTCCATTGTCTCGCCTCTCTTGTCAACCTGTTAGTTTTCGCCTGTGGATCTTCGAGTATGTGTGAGATAAGACATTAGTCATAAATCATCATTTGCGAACTCCAAATCTTCTTCTGGGTATTTTTATCAGTCAAACAGCAAATACGCCTCTCTTCGCTTCTCATAATTCCTTGCATGATCCAGTTCATTCGAGTCGACCAGAATCAAGATCATTAGTGATGGTAGATGACACTTTTGTCTTACTTCTGTCTTCACTTCAGTGGGATCACTGAGGTTTTTAATGTTAATCACCTGGCATGTAGCATCATATAGCATGTAGCCGTTGAACGAGGTTGACGAAGGTTTGTGGCACCAAAACTGTAGTGTTGAAGCAGCTACCTGTCAAATTACTTCTCGGTCGACGCTTTGATCGAAGTCCTTTCAAAATCGATAATGTTGAGGTAATGTGACGTTTTGATCTCTACCTGATTTGTTTTTCCGGAGGCCATTCATTCAGCCAGCCGGTCTGTTCCGGTCGTAATTTTAAATCCAGCGCATCGTTGAGTCTCTCCGGGATGATGCGGCATTATATATTACTTGGGATGGACGAGCATAAAGCATGATTCCGCACCAGTTGTTGCTTTTGCAATGACTTGTGTTGCCCTTCTTTGGGAGTTTGATGAGGTAGCCCTTCTCCTTATCCATCAGCAGCTGCCTTTCTTTCCTTCCTTCCATGCAGACTTTCTGCAACAGTGGTGTGAGCACTAAGCATAGTAGTTGCGACATTTATCGAGTGGTCAGCATCCTGAGAGCACTATAATAATGAACTCCATGCTTTTAAAAATAAGTTGTCTAATGATTCCCCCAACCATTGTACTTGCTACCTTTATCTGGGTTAATTGGTGCCTTGTGAGACAGACTTTATTGTTAGAAAGGTTTGGAGAACTTTTCAAAATGCCAAAACAGTACATCAACAGGTAACTTTATTATAACAGTAGTGTGTACAATAATAGGTGGAAGATGCATGGTCCAGTAACTAGGTTCGAGGTGATAGGTGAGTTCAGTATAATTCTTTTGAATGCACCAGTTTGATCATCCCTCAGTATTTCACATGGTTTCGGCTACGTGTAGATGATACCGTCTCAGACATTCAGTTGCGTTATTCAGTTTTCTATGCAGTACATGAAAAATGTGGACAATTTTAATGCATTTTTCCTTGTCTAGAGAATAAGACAGATTGGTATTATTTTTAGTGTTTACCGCAAACTGGTTACTGTGGATAAGCTAAGAACGAAACAACAAACAAGGTGACGCCAGATTTAAATGCCCAAAAATACAACATGTTAGTATTCCTAGGGTGTCTAAATGGAATTGCAGACATTTTACCTGCTGACTAAACTACCACCATCCAAATACACTCGATTTCGTCTTTATACCTGAGTCCAGATCAGACGGTAATGTAGCACCAGCTGTCCGTTTCACATCAGTACCTTTCTTACCATTATTGTCAAGGGTGTACAGGCATAGTAATTATTTCTTTATAAATTACTGGACATAGCGTATATTTTGTAGACATTCCATGCTGTATCACAATTGCTGCTTTGAAATAAACCGACTATAATTGTAGTCATTATTATTAATGGAAAAGTCACTCGAGTGTGGTCTAAGACCTTTTGTAATTGAATTCATCGCAGACATATTTAGTTGTAGATAACGCTCCTTGTCTAACAGCAAACTGGTATTCATCGTGTACTTTAAAATCCCATTCATTACTTCTAGTGGGTTCCCATATTCATTTCGTACTCCACCAGCATTTCATCATATCAGAAACAGCGTATACAAGTAGAAACCAGATAAGGTAACAATAGGTCTGCCTCTTGTTTCGGTATGAATAGATGCGCTTTGATGAAATTAAAGAATTGCTAATAATGAAGTAAGCCAAATATACCTGGCTACTGTTGCTGCTATACAGAAGGGTTCGTTATGTGTACCAAACAATTTAGTGCAGCAAATTGGAATTCTCCAACACTATCCATCCCTTCATAAAATTTACCTACTACGAAGAACGATAGATTAGTACATCTCTCGATTTCCTTTTCGACACACGAGAGATAGCCTAGGAAACAAATCTGATCAGGGGAACTACATAGAATGGGCAAAAAAAATACTCATTTAATTAGGTTCACATCTATATAGTAAAAGAAATCTGGATTAGCATACTGGTTAAGAATGAAAGAAAATTATTCTGAAGTTTGTATGCATAAGGAAGTAAGGAAACTGAAAAAACGGCTAAAAAGTTAGTTTTTCTTATGAATAACAGATATATAAGATCATAACTTAAGTGCTTTCTAGACATAACATTAGGAATAACTTTCATGTGGTTGAGTATTTCCAGTAAAATGGAAGAAACTATTTAATGACTTGTGCGCTATCCTATCTTCAAGAAGTTAATTTAATTAAACAAGTATTTCCATACCAATCAGTTTATCAGTAAATTCCTGCTCATGTTTATGTTTTATTTGTTAGATATTGTGTGACGGAACTGTCAAATTTGTGACCCTAATTTACTTATTCATAAGAACCAAGTTTTAATCTTGTATATTGCCTTTCTCTTTTAACAGAAGCGGAATATAGAAAGAGATCATATGTACATTTAGAGTCAGCGGACACATCAAAAATTACTTTGACAAACAATCTAACAAAAACTACACATTCAAATGAAACTTTTGAAATAATTCCTAAAAAAAACAAGACAGATCAGTATTCTTCCCATTTATCTTCATCATCACCTACTTTTGTATATATTTCTGATTCAAGTGAAGATGCACCTGTAATGGAATCACATCCACATTCAAATGGCCTAGGTTCTGAAGGATTTTGTGGAGATTCACATATGAAAACGCGTCAGCTTGGTGCAAGAGCAATGCATGAAGCTTCAGAAATTCTGCATTTTCTAAGCATTGCAATCACAGCCTTATTCTTTTTATGTGTACTGTTGAAAGTAATTTGCCTTGGCAAGGAGTTTTTCCGCGATACAAATGAAGTAAGTGGATTATGTTTATCCCACTCATTGGTTGTTTAATTTTTAAACTTATTGTCCACCGTGAAATTATTTGGTTTGTTTTGACCAGATGTGTATGCTTCATTCCACAACTATTTCCGCTGAATAATATTTTTCCATTCATTAATTAATCGCAGATGAGAATCTTCGTAACATATGGACTTAGGAACGGTATATAAATATGTTTTAAATCAATCAAAAAGATCATACTTTAGAGCAGTAAATGTTTAGTTACCTGTTGAACATACCTAGAAATTCCAAACTAGTGTAAACTTTTGAGTTCCCAAATAAACAACAAATTTTAAATGAGTTTTTAGATATTCTCAGTTATATCTTGTATCAGGTGATCAGAAAGTTGATGAAAATAAAGTTTGAAGTCACAGGTTATTTATAATACAAAGCCTCAGTTTGCTAATGTATAGCTAAAGCAAAACATATGGGGTGCTCTTTGAAGCAAGTAGTCCTTTTGATAGATGTCAGTAACCTGATGAGAATACTGAAACTACTATAAACATGTGACACTTTAACCTTATACATTATATGTATACACGGTAGATCTCCCTTGTGTCTGAAACACAACAAACAGGAGACATTCAGCTCCAGAAGACGTTCTTCATAGGTCAGGCTACAGGCATCGCAAAGATACTACGAGTGGCTGTCGTCTTGACTCTTTGTAGAAAGTCTAAGTCATCTTTTAGGAAAGAATTGGCTGCTTGTGCTCACTCTGAGTCTAACTTAGGTTAAAATACGGTTAAACTGGTTTAATTGTCGACACTGTCCCTAGTCAAATTTCTCTGTATTGTATAGTGTTATATGACTACACGTGGACTTAAAATATTATTTATGTGAGTGTTTAGAGAAGGTCCCCTAAGCCAATGAGAAACATAGGATTGAGAAGGGAAAACCAAAATCAAAATCACTACGCAGTAGGTATAAAAATTACTAAACGAATGGGTTCAAACTGTATACACACTGTAAACATGAACGGAGTTTAAATCTATGGATTACTAGAACTGACAAATCTAGGGATCTTAGTTGGACTACTTTGTTGAAATACTTTAAAGGTGCTTTTAAAGTCTGTCCTGTGGCTAGTTTTCAGCATCTGTTCAGCAATATATCAAAATGGACGTTTGTTTACTGTATTGGATCACTTGAGGTTATCTGTTTTTGAAGCCATCTAGGTACACACTAAATCATTCTTAACTGTTTACCGATGATTACTTCTGCATGTGTAACTGTATCCACACATATATTTCTTCAAGACTTGACAGGTTATTGGCTAGAAGCAAAATATTTGTGACTGCTTTTTAGGTATTACTGACAAACACTATTCATTAATTAATTTTTTTAAATTTTTTAGTACTGTTTAACAAAAGGTATTTTATTACAGCTCTTTCCCTTAATACAGCTGTCGTTTTCACACTGACCTTTTTTTGTAGAAAATGGTTATTTTTCATTTTCGAGCCTTCTAAGAATACATAAATGCTTGTTAGAGTTCTCAGTTAATTAGATCTGATTTACACATAAGCAAAAGTACAAAGTTATTTCATAATTGAGCAAAAGTTGATTCAAAAAAGTATAAGTTATTAATAGACTTACTGCGTAGTATTGCTGCATACGACAAGTAGGTTGGCTGTACGGAAGTGATTTCTTTCACGAGGAGATTATATATGTTGCTATAATATCACAACTAATTCGGCAGGCAACCCAAATAACTAATAATGTTTATATTCACTTAGCATCTTTCTTTGTCTTCAGCATTAGTTTGCCGATGTAACATCAGTAAGCTATAAATGAAGTAATATATCATAAACAAGTAAATGTATTATCGTATTTCTCAAAGTTTAGATGATGTGAGAAATGAGAAATTCAAGAGGGCCTGTTCTAATCAGACAATTACTAGTTAAGTCATATTTGTGTACTATTTGATCTAATCAGTGATAGAAATTATCAAAAGGGAATCGAAAATCATGGTACCACTAAATTAATTCAGAATATCATAGTGTTAAAGAACAAAACCATCGAATAAGCAAACAGATGCTGCATAGCAGTCTGACACGTACACACTAACTGTCTTGTTACAGTTCCATACGAGTGTGGAACTAAGATCAAATAACTTGAAGCTGAACTATTCAAAGTGTATGAGAAAGACTAAAATAAAATAATTTTTTGTTAATAGACAGTTTTTACTAGCAAAGCTTCACAACTATATGAAAAACTGACTATCCACGCAAACCAAAACATATATTAACAGATTAAAATTGGTTGGTGTGATAAGTAGCTATATACTTTTTAATGATTCATTCCAAAGAAAATGAAAAACGCAACACAATGCATTCAAAGGTTTTTGAAAGAAAGAGTATATCCATTCAGACTGCAATGACAGGGAAAACTTTCCTCAGTTTTTTAGGCAATTCAACTTTTATGCGTTGCTGAAAACATCAGGTTGCAGTGCAATACAGTTTTATTTACTTCCTTACTGTTTCTGTAATATTCGCAGTATAGCTACACGAAATCGTTCAATTTAAATTAATCTTAACTATAAAATATTCAGAATCTTATTACTACTCAACATATTTTAAAAGTTTACTGTATTACTGAAATACTGAAGTAATATGTAGCACCAAATGATTTGTAACTAAAAGGATAAATGCAGTTTTAATAGATACTAAAATTACAGTACTCTATACACGGGTACGAGTGTTTTGTTATTTATCTCAAATTTATTTTACGAAAGCCTTAAAAGGGAAATTAATTCACTTAATCAAAATCAATGATCCTGACTTGTTTTTTCATCACGCTATAGACAAGAAGCTGAAGTCAAATACTTTGTTGTTCTCATCTAGATAGATGCTATCTAGACAATAAATTCATCTGTGAAAACATTTTAAGTGACCTTACAAAGTTTATGCTACTTTAAATAGATCGGTATTTGTATCAATAACAGAAGTAACTTTAAGTCTCAAATTAGTGGGAAAATAGCCCACTTATAAGTAGAAACGGTGGCGAAACCGAGCCTTTTACGCAGATGATTACCACCATGTAATGTTAAATACTTCAAAATTGCAATACTTAGTTATTTTGATCAGTGATCATGTTTGTTTGCACGATTAATACTATTCAGCCAACATTGAAGACAAAATGTAGTAAACCAACAATTATTCCGAAAGAAGCAGTTTTCCTAGTCCAACTTTAGTGCTTGTGTAAAGTTTCTGTTAGAGTTCTGCATCTACCCGTCTGAATGAAGCACTTAGGGACATAAATTCTATTATGACTTCGAAAAAGAGAAATTTAGCGAGGAAAGCTATTTTCAGAAAATTCAGTCTCATGACAAAAGTTCTGATGTATGTGATATTTGAAGACTTTAATCCATAAGAAAATTTCATAAGTGGGTGCCAGAAATTACTACTGTTGTTGGTTGGAGATGTAGTAGTTGAATGATAATACAAGTAAAGTATGCAGAATTTTCAGTTGTTTATAAGATGCACATTGAATACGACAGGTTATAAACACGATACAGCCGATGAACAAACAAAGGATTGGGTAATATGAATGAAACAGGCTAAGATAAAATGAATTTGTTCTGTTGATAATTTTTATGGTTGTAAATACTAAGCGAAACAACACCGGAGACTATCAGATGTAGCGATAATATTGACATTGGTGAGAAAATGAGTGCAGAGATCATTCTAATAAAGGAAGAAAGTCACGAAAATGAAACAAAACGGAACCATACAAAAAATAAAGTTGGGAACTAAGGAAGGGAGAAAACCATGAGATTTCTTTTTCTAAACACAGATCAGACTTCTGCTCACAATTCCTCCCTTGCTTTGAGAAACTGAAACATAGAATCTATCAGTGGATTCGGTAACCAGTGTTAAAATCTTTGTATTTGTCAAATGAACGATTACAACTAATCAAGCATTGAGTAAGAAAACGTCAAAACGTGGATGAGTATCATTCTAAATCTGATATAACTTATACACTCTTCACTTATTTTCACTTTTGAGAAAAAAAAACGGATGAATAAACTCCATTTCTTTGCAAGTTTCGCTAAGTAGTCATTAAAATGATCCATTCAAAAGTGTATTTATCTGTCCTGTCTGCAGATCAGTACGTAAGTTTTTTAATCGATTGCCTATTAAGTACAAAATAAACCTAATCAAACATTTCTCAAATAGAGAAAGAAGAGTATGTTCTGGTGATCTGATACCTAAAAAGTTGGAGTATTTCCAAAACTCATTCATTGGTATGCTTTATGAAAGGGCATATGAACATAACAACATCTGGGAAACTTAAGTCATTTAACATTCGAAAGAAACCGGTGTTCGTAAAGCTCCATTTACAAAAGGATGTAGCGATTAGAAATGCATATCAAGCACCTATAAAAACAACCAACCAGCGGACTGTCCAGGCTGTGAAATTCTGCTAATCATTTTCTATTCGATCAGAAGTTATTGGTCACATATAAAATTGGACATCTATTCCTTTCATATCTACGTGTCGTAAAACGTTCAGCTACTGCCATTGACAAGGTTATAAACAGAATATTACCCAGCAGTCTAACGGATGTCATTCTTGCCATCTACCTTCATTGCTTGGAACCAAATAGATAAATTGTCAATGTCTCTCACTTTTTTTGCTTTTCGTCAACGTCATTTACATAGTAGATAAGGTCAATGCGTTTAAAACTAGTTATCTTATGCCACCAAACAGCATGAATTCATCTTTTACATTTGGAAAAAGCTATAAAGATTTTAGATCATAATCAGAGCTTCAGTGTTCAGGACAAAACCTGATAAGCAGATTATTTGTTGCCTTCTAATTTTTCCTTTCTCTCGTTTACTCACTACCTTTATACTCTGACCATCCACTTGCATCATCCTTAGTATTACACATTACTCATCATTTCAGGTCGTCGACTCATTACAATTTTCGGAGTGTCTGCATTCACATGCCTTTTATTACGCTTATAATCATCT